CACGACACACACACACAATATATATANATATATATAATAATATATATATATATATATATATATATATATATATATAATATATATATATATATATATACACACACATATATATATATATATTATAGTATATATGTATATATATTTATGTATGTATGTATGTGTGTATGTATATATATATAAGTATATATATATGGTGAATGGTATATGTGCATGTGATTGTAACCGTCTCTTGGCTTGTCTGATATCACATTCTATCTACACCTATCTTCGGCCTCTTTGTGTTCATACACCCACTGGTCACTCTGAATAGGACCCCACCGGCGAACTCATGATGCTGCCCGCTGACATGGCTCTAGTTTGGGACTCTGAGTTCAAGAAGTACGTGGAGATGTACGCCAAGGATGAAGAGCTCTTCTTCGCTGATTTCTCAAAGGCCTTCGCCAAGCTACTCAACTTCGGCTGCGCCTCAAAGGGCTGGTTCGGCTGGTTGGGGTTCTAAATGCAGTACGATGACTTCACATGGCTGCCATGGGACTTGATCTCAGCGTACTATTATTTCCGCTGATAGCTGCCTTGAAGGATGGGGGCTCAGTCTCTTGAGTTCTGATACATATGCTATATACTGCTCCTAAGGTAGCCGGGCTGGGATATTTAAGAGCTTCACTGGTTTGCTTGTCGTGCGGCTATCGAATGGTGTCAGTCAATAAGTATCCAGTGGCCCTGGATTATCAAGCCCCCGGTCTACTAATAATAAACTCTGGTTTAATAACACCAGAAGTCCACTTATCATACCCTGTGCTCGCTTTACCCCCCAACCCCCATATGTTGCTGCTATTATTCCAATTGATGTTTTTGACTGGCTAATCCAATATGTATGTCGTTTGAACTCAGATTTTACTCTGCTGTTACGTTAGGGTGTGTTCTCGCGCACATTGAATTGGCAAACACTGCACTAAATAGTCCATACTACATACATATCACATACTACACACATCTCACATTTGACTGACCGTTAAGTTCTGTTGTGTTAGGATGTGTTCTCGCACACATTGAATTTGTCAACACTGCACTAGATAGTCCATAGTATACACATCTTACATATGGCTGTCCGCTAAGTTCTGGAAACATATCATTAATACGCATAGCCAGCCACATAAAGTAAGGATACCTCGAAGATATCCTTGTTTTATACATTTCGCTTCAGACAATTGTCATTCAACCTAGGCACTTCGCTGTAAGGCTTCGAGTCTGGAAGCACGGTGTGGTTCAGAGTCACTGTTCTTTTCCACGCGGAATAACGGCAGTATTTCCTCACCTCTTGTTATGAGCAGCAAAAGTTCGGCAAATCCTGTGTATACGGCCAAACTACCGCATAGCACGCCTAGGGCCCCTCCTATTACCTGGACCACATCGCTGCTTGATGCCGAGTACGACAGGTGCAGGATTTAGATGGGGACGGGATATGTGTTGTATTTATCGACGAGATCTCCCGTCTTTAACACAAAAAAGTCGAGAAGCAGGTGTCGTTTGATGAAACAGGTGAAGTCCTAAATTCGCCAAAGTAAATCGGAAAGCGAAATCGCGAGGTGACTTAAATGGTTGGCCATTCGGTCCAAAATATACCATCGGGTCGCGCACTGCTTTGGGAACACATACTCACCTGTACACTCCTCCAGCGAGGAAGAAGAACACCATTGCCAAAGTACACAACACTGATTGGATAGCACGCGTGGTTTTGGGCGCGTAGAAGGTGGTGAATGACAACAGCGCCGTGAAGACGCCCCAAACACAGAACCACACACACTTCGCAGTAGGAACTGGAGGGGAAGGGGCGGGTATGGCGTTGGTGGCCAGAAGAAGTTCATAAAGTCCCCAGGATAGCCAGAATACGCCATATGTTACGAAAGCGGTTCCTGTGTGAAAATGTGTATACGGATTGTGTGCAGGAACAAATGAGAACCGGGGTCCGGATGGAGAAGATCCGAAGGGTTGCCGACTATAGCGATATAACGTAAAAGCATATAGATACTTGATTGTATGAGCACTGTGGTACCAAGTAACGTCGACTATATATACTGTTTTTATATTGGTAGCCTTGAGAGCACGGAAATCTAAGATATCACGTATCGGCATTTGTGATATCTTTGTCACGTGCGTCCGGATCTTTGGTGTTTGACCTTGCGCAAAATACCTACCGCTTAGAAATCTGTGTAAATGCAACTCGAATAGTCCTGCGATCAGTTGAGCCAGGCCACCATGAAAGACAGCGAATGAAGCCGCAAGACCCAACGATTCATCTTCGGCCACACCTACGTTAGTGATATTTTTTCGATATATTTGTTCAGTATGTAAACATGTAGGTCACTGGGGTCATGTATGCGTTCAATAGAATTCTTAAGGGACTATCGCTCTATCGTGAACTACTATAATAAACTCCCTGATACTTTCCTTGAACATTTGGATTCGATTGAAGTGCCCTTACCGAGGTTGACAAAACTGAGGATGATCGTCGTCATCCCGAACGCGCATAGCCCCAAACCCTCGGCATTCGGTGGATACCTAAGAGGTTAGAAGTTTATCAATTCTACGCAGCCCATAGGTTCTTCAATAGAACCAACAGCCTTTTAAGTCAATGCAACAATGCCCTGTGTACACTAAACATAAGTGTACCATGAAGCGACGCTTACGCATTGTCGCAAAAAAAATAATTGGCATACACGGCCATGCGCGTCAGTTGACAAACCTAAACGCACGATATTTGGCGTCAATTGGTCGAAGCGTAGACTGCCGAGGGATAACTCCTATCGCATCCTCCGATTCAAATCCTGTATTGAGCTCTTGGGATACAGGTCTCATGATTCCTGAGCATGTTTTAATTCGTGAAGATCTCAGGAACAGTGAATTGGTTATACGGCCTGGACCTTGCCGTGGCGGCGTAAGTTTAGATTCAAGTACACATCAACAAATGAAAAACCTTCATAAATACTGTCAGTAACGAGTTCATCACGCTGACATTGAGAAGGTAGATGACTAGGTGGAGCATCATATATATATATATATATATATATACTCATGTGCCTGGTCTTTCCGCGAAAGCGTAATATGTCGTAGGCGGCATAAGCTGGTTGATAAACAAACGTTTATATATACTATTGAACTTAGTAAGAAGGCAGACTGACAAAAATATACAGAATGCACATAAAATATGTTAGGACTCACCTTTCCGCTGGCGCACAATTGTTGTGCAAGTTGCATGATATACAACTGGTGGCGGTACGTATCCTGCTGACAATATAAGTACCTTTGGTACCCCACGACTTCAGAAAGCAAGCTACTTAGTCTTCACATTTGGTGCGTGAAAGAATACTAAGACAATATAAATTACAGCTTAGCGAGCAGGGCGGTAAAGACCTAAAATACGTCAACAAATACATGATTAGCTCGGACAACTCAACATATGTTTTACAGGTTGTCACGATGGAGTATTTTGAACTTATATCTTTGCCAACCAAATAACTGACAAACTGAGCACCTCCGCAGAAGGGTGTACACTGTACACAACCGCCACGTGGTCAAGTATGTGTACCAGCTACCATATTTAGCTATATCACGTGGGTGCTACTGCATCTACACCTTTGGCCCGCTGACAGAGGATTGACTGTGTAAATTGTGAGCATCACACTGCGCTGACTTGCAGAAGGGTGGACACAGTGGCCGAGCTGGTAAATCCCGAATAGGGCGTGGTAGAAGATAATTCAAGCCAACAGTATTGCGAGTTAAGATCTGCTCGAAAAATTGAACCCCAAAGTATGAAGCTACTGTCAATAGCCTTCTTTTTGACCATATTGGTAAGTGCTTTGACGTGTACCTTCCCACTTCCGCGGTATGGATGAGATATCTGATACTGACGGAGTGCTACCGTCCGTTCCATTCGAAGAGTCAGAGTACAAAATGTGCTTCAGCATCACCCACCGAGTCTCTCAGCTTAGAATCAAACACTATGTACATACCTCTACAGGAAGTTCACTAACCTTCAGAGCGTTCAAGCTAAAAAGAATACCCATTCAAGCTAAAACGATACCCATCCAAGCTAAAAACGATACCCATCCAAGCTGAAAACGATACCCAATCAAGCTAAAATCGATGTCCATTCAGGTTAAAAACGATACACACTTCAATGGGTTGGGCAATTATGTCGTCGTGGTCGTGAAATCAAAGTGACTCCAAGCGTTCACAACAATTGTGGAAAGAGTAAAAAAGGAGTATTTTATAGTAAAATCAATCCTGTCAGTTTACTCAAGAGTCAGAGAGTGCTTTAACTTTTAGGTCGATCGGCCTCACCCAAAATCAGGAACACTTTCAGTATTTATACGGTAAAGAATTTATATGGATAGCTCAACATTTGAAGCAGAGGTCAACGGCGCGATAATTCGAGTAACAAAAATAAATAACTCGGGGTACTGTTTTTTAAATTCAGCTGCATAACTTCGGATACTATGTAGAGCTTCTTGGAATGTATCACCACTCGCCAGCTTGGCCTGTTCCAGACCGGGAGAAGATTACATGTTCAAGCGTGCGTAATAATGAGGAACGTATATAAATGTCATGTGACGCTACATACACACCTTTGGTGGGTCTGTAAAGTGCAAATTTCTTTGCATAGAATATAGTTCTTTTAAAATATACGGGGTATAAATGCAGAAAAAATCTTGATACAAGATAACACAATACAGGTGTCGCTGGACCGACATAAAATATGAAGGACGAGTGTATTTATATGAACATCCTGTGACAACGAATATCTTTACAGTGAAGTGCGTACAGGTATATATGTGGCATGATTGATTATTGACAGGATTATAAATGCAAAAAATATATGATACAGGGTCACAATAGGGACGCCGTTTTGAGTGGCACATAAGTACAGTTTTTCTGGTAAGCATATATAAGAGGGAATATGGAAAATACGATAGTAACAGTCTCGCGACACATCTCCGTAGACATCTTTGGTCATATAGCCTACAAATAACCATGGAATTCTTCATATTCACCGTAACCTTTGCTGGGTTGGCGAGTGCGCTGGCGCACCCGTCGACTGGGGACCCGGTTCCTGACAACAGCACAAGAGACAGTAGCCCGTGCTGCAGAAGTAATTACTTCGGCTCCCGATACATTGGAGGGCACTGAAGCCAAGGTCTATGCGGAGTTGGATGATGCTACTTGCCCACCCTTGTGCTGGGCCTGAGGTGGGTTTGCTAGGTGCTGTCTAGGTGGGATTGATAGGTGCTGTCTGTCCGAGTGCCTTCTGAAGATCGGCGGTGTGTAGAAGGGTAAACAGTTCCAGAGGTGGCTTAATCGACTGCCTTATGCTACGCGGCTATGGCGCATGGAGGTCTATGCTGCTATGGCGCATGAAGGTCTATGCTGCTATGGCGCATGAAGGATACGGAGGCGCACCTGACCAGCACGATTGTCTCTTATATAATCAAGCCTACCCCTAATGAAAGTCATTGACGTGAAAGCATGTGTGCGCGAAAGTGCACTTTAAAAAAATGGACACAAGCATGAAGCCAAAGTAGATACCCGGAATGACTGTCCGGTTGAGACTTAGGCTGAATTTCCTAAATTAGTTAAGTATGCCATCTAAGCTCCCAATGTACCGTGGGTTGGTAGTTGTATCTAGTCCTAGTCCGACACAGCATATTTGCGAGACCAGGCATTCTTCAGCACGCGCGTACCCTCCCCCTTCGCTTACAGCTTATAAATATGATTAGGTATCCACATAAAAGATACTATACAGCTACAACCATACTTAAATGCTATCTCCAGCCACATGTCATCGAGAATCATTTGACAACCATGCTAGTCGCAGGACGATACGAGACTTACCCCGGTCAAATCCAAATTATTGTATTCTTTTATAGCGCGTCATATTGAGATAGCCTTCGTTCCAGCGAAGCTACTCCTCAACTGTTCGCTCGGGAGGCACTCTTTGTGGTTACATCTCGACTCTTCCTTCGACCGAGGTCCAACCCTAAGCTCAATGGTGTGCTGCCTTTTCCTCCGGACGAACATCAGTCCAGTTGTTCTCTAACTATACTCTAAGGTCTAGCTTGTCAACAAACAGGGCACAATATACGAACTGATTAGAATCAGACGTTTCTTGCAATTATAAACGTCACTTCTACTTATACCTGATCCTCGGTGACACACCCGTAGTAGGCTTTGGCGCTTAAATGGCCACTATCACTTGAATTAAGACTACACGCTGCACTTGTAGTGGGTATACATTTTGCGTTCTCCCAAGTGAGACATATACCTCATTCCCTAACCATTCATACTATCAAGATCACACCATGCTTCCGTACTGGGGCTGACTGGTCTGGTGGACGGACTCTACCGATCGATCACTAACCATACGAGCACAGACTAAGACTACGGTACACCCAGTCTCCGACATAGGCACAACCACATCTTGGGGGACATGGACGCAACTAGAACTGGCCTAGCGTGCTGCGTTTGAACACTAAGCAGGTTCCACTTACATACGTACACATTGACATGTTCTATGCATGATTATCCTAGGCAGGTAAGTATTACTGCCCACTTTGTGTGCTTCAGGTTCCACTTACATACGTACACATTGACATGCTCTATGTATGGTTATCCTAGGTAGGTAAGTGTTACTGCCCACTTTGTGCGCTTCCCCAACAGAGAGTTGCATGTGCGTGCTTGTTGCCAGATACCCTTCATTCTCCGATGGTCTAATCCTGACCATGTCCCTTTCGGCGGGGTCATAACTGGCGTGTTCTTTCCATGAGATGACATATCTGGCATACTCGCTTGCTGCCGCAATTGCATTGTTATTGGAGAGTATGTACTCTTCCATACACAGCACCTGCCACGCGCTACGCGATCATTCTTCACTAAACTAGCTACTTTTACAAACAAATGATAATACACACGGGTCTATAACGCCACTCTCCTCATTGCCCGTACCCCACGTTCGCCAGGACACCCCCAACCAGATGCAAGCTTCCACATACAAACACGCGCACGTCCTCTGTGTGTGTGCCAGGGCATGCCCCGCTTGCCTCGGGCGAGTGCACCCATCTCACCGCTTGTTCAATGGACTCGAAGGACCGAACTTTACCGTGGGTACTGGACGTGAGCACCTGGGCTTGGTTGCACAGATCTGTCCATATGCTCGCGTTCAATTTGGATGCTGCCAGTTGGTTCTCTGTGTGTTGGTTGTGATTGGTTGTGTCTGCGAGTTGAGGAGAAAGAGTATAGTATACAGATGTGGGTAAGTGACGGTAAAACCTCGAGGTATTCCCGTAGTGCACATTTTTACATGGCATATGTATGTACAGGCACACACATACACAGGACTATCTGCACGAATAAAACAGAATGGCATAGATATACCACGATGTAGACATATGTGTATCCACATGCACGTAAAAAACAAAAGGACTTAAATACAACACAATGCAGACA